GCCATATCCAAAAGCTGGCCGCCGAAAACCATCCAGCAAAGGAAGAAAACGACGCAAATCAGCAATTCTAACCGACACACCAGTGAAGCAGCAACTAGAAAAAGAAAAGAATAAGGGTGAATCTAGCAAAAAGCTGTTTCAAAAGAGAGGGACGCAAGGGGGGGGAAAACATCTGGACCTATGAAGAACAACACAGCTAAAAGAAGAAAAATAATTCAAGAGTCATCATCAGATGATGAAGAGTGCTTCTGCCTTGTCTGTGTGGAGCTATTTTCAAACAGTCGTCCAAAAGAGACCTGGGTAAAATGCGTAAAATGCAACAAATGGGCCCATGATGTTTGCACCTCAGGCCAGGCAATTTATGTGTGCCAGAATTGTGACTCTGAAGTTGAGTCTGATTAATCAGAAATAGGGCATCTGTTTTGTTCAGAGGATAAACATGTTAGGTAAAGCAAGTTATTTGCAGCATTCCATTCAGTTATGATGGGTTTATGTGCAAGCCAGAGAACATTTGAGTTTAAAGTTCAAACTAAAGTTTTCTTTCTACTTAATGTTTTGATTAAAATGTGTATTGGATTGAAATAATTGTTGTTTTCCAAATTCTCTTGGCATAATTGTTCAAATTTCCAGTTTTGGTTTGAATTTAACAATTAAAATCAATAATCACAATTAAGTATTTGTGTTCATATTTTAAGATAATCTAGTGTGACAACTTACCTGCCTATGGGGCAAATTGTCACAAGTGCACATTCTCCATTCAACAGTCTACAACTCCGTAATGAGATAAGATATGAAAATGTAATGAATACATCATATGTGCCCGAGACTTCCTTCTTTCATTTGGTGAAACATTTATTACGTTGTGATGTATGGTGCTCAGTAAGAGTTAGTCAGTGTGAAAAGTGTGACAACTTACCCCGCTCTCCCCTACTACAAGTCCTAAGCTGGGGAGAAGCCCAGTATGAGCCAGCGGGGATTCTATATTTGCAATTCAATACTGGAGGAGTGTTTACATGATCTGACAACGACATCCCAGAAATCTTAAAAGCTCAAAAAAGTATAAGAAGCAAACAACTGATCGTTGTTTTCATTTAGACCTCAGAAACGGACTAAAACCTTCAGATCTTCATCAGCAGACGAGGTTGGCCAAATGTTGTATCAAGCAACATGTGGCTGAAAATGTCAATAAAAGACAGCAAGTGACACCAGGTTACATTTATTGAGTTAAAGTACTTAATTCAAGGTCGTCTCAGTTTTCAGACTGTTAGCAAAGTGAAAGTATTAAAAGTATTGTGCAAGCCTGCCAAAGTTAGGCCTTGTGTGTCTCCAGTTTGTGCAGTCAGGACAGACTACACAATGAAACCCCCCCAGGGTAAAACACTGACCTGTACTGGAGTACATGTTGTGTACAGTGAATATGCAGAATGTTTGAAGCTCATATCAGGCTTCTCACGTTATTCAGAGAACAGATGCAAAACACCAGTTTGCCATCAAGGTCAGTTTTATAGTATTTTTATCCTCAGCACAGCTCATACAGTAATGCATCATATAACAGCCAAATATGGACATGAGGGGCTTCAAACGCATGACTGCTTTCATATTCAGCACAGCATGGCTCCTGTGCTCTCTGCTGCTTCTGTAAAGAGTGGAAAGAAACTGATGTGCATATTCCCCCCCAAAGAGCTTGACATGACAGTTTGGCCTTCTCCTCCTTTCAGCCGTGCTTTTCATGAAGATTCAAGAATTCATCAAAAACTCATCTGAGCAGCAGCTCTTGAAAAAAAAGAAAAAGCGAGCTACTACAAAGAAATAAACCACTGACTATTTCATCGATTCATATTGCACTTAGCCAAACTTAGAAAGAAGCTGTTGCAACTGATTTAGACCCCTGTGAAGATCACTAACTACTGACAACATGCAACCGCAGTTAGGCTGTTCCAGGAGCATCACACTTCCTATTTTCATTCGATATCCTTTAGTAGTTTATGTTCCCAAAATGACAAATATGAACATTTTCTTAACAAACAGGAAATGCATTAAATCACATGTGCAAGGTGACTTCTGTTAACAAGGCTGCAAATATAAGCATCTTCATTTGAGAGTACAGTCATTTAAATGAAACAACCTTTTTAGAGGCAAATAGCCAACCATCCACCTATACCCTTATTGATTTAAGTGGTTCAGAAGCCTTGCAAGGACTGGCCAACAAACCCTATGTGCAGAACCAGGACACTGATGAATGGAGCATAAGAAAAAACATTGTGTAGCCAAAGCCTAATGTCTTCTATAGAGTTACATTATCATGCAGGTAGTGATAAATCATGAGCAAGTCACTCTGTCACCCTAGGTCACACTGTAGTCTGACTCAGTCCACTGCCTGAAATCACTACACCGCCACATGTGGAGTAATCCACTGCTCAAAGTAGAAACTACAACGCGGAGTAGCTGAGAACGGGACCTTTTTAAAGGTGAAACTATAAACTAGTGACGTGTTTACACAGTAATGTATTATTTAGGCGAGTCTTTAACAAAAGGAAAATCAGACATTAACAGTTCTGTAACGACAAACCTAACCATGTGCAAAGTCCTGGATGACATTCAGGGTCAGTGCTTTGGTTGTGGACAGCAGAGAATTATTCCACACCGCAGCAGGTGGTGTCAGCGCTGTGTGTGAGACAGTATACAGGAAGTGTGTTGGTGGAGTGGCTGATAACTCTGGGCACTGGTTTAAGATGTGATCAGTCAGACCTTAAAAATCAAAATAACTTGAGCTAAATGACACACCGAGTTTCTCATTTCTTGCTGCGCAGCCGTTTGGATTGCCGTGGAAGGTCTGAGCTTTTTCTGGTGCGTTTTAGCGAAGACCCTACCTCACCCTCTGTCTCCCTGGGTGAGGCTGCAGCCACGGCTGTCAAGACAGCAGCAGATGTGCTGGCAGCAGTGAAAGACACAGCAGAGCTGCTGGATGTGGAGGGGACAGTTGTGTTGGGCCTGGGTCCTCCGATAGCAGCAGCGCTACTCTCCATCAGTTCACGGAGCTTGTGCTCCAGCTCTGCGAGGCGGGCGTTCTGCTCAGCGATCACCTGGCTCTGTTCCTGCAGCTTCTGCTCCTGGTCCTGCAGCTGCTTCTGCTGCTCCAGCTGCTTGACCCGAATTTCCTGCATCTCCCTCCGCAATACCGTCATCGATGCCCCGTTCACTTTCACCTGCTGCTGCACCTTGGTCATCTCAGAGCGAGAAGGTGTGTTCTTAGCCAGCAAGGACATGGTGGTCAAAGAGGTAGATGGACCTGCCACTGAGGGCACAAGACACACATCTGAGTAAAGCGTGTTCCAGAGTTAGCATAGCGTGTGAAGCAGAGCGCGTGCAGAGCAGTGCAAACAACCAACGGCTGGGGTGGCACGTAAGACTAAACAGGACGATGACTTTCTCGTCTCTCACATTTAGCGACAACTCTGATACAAATGGAAAGCCACAAATGCACAACCACTGTGGCTCACATGTTGCATTTAAAACCTTGGACACCCGGTGCAATAGGGATGCGCAACTATTATTGTTTTTGTCACATTTCAATTACCTGGTGCAGAGCCAATGAGGCGACCAGACAGATCGGCTCCCGGCAGTTTCTTCTTCAGAATGGGGACGATCTTCTCATCGAAGTACTCCATGGCCATGGAGGAGATGTCCCTCAACTCCTGCAGAACCTCATGAGCTCGCTGAGGTGCTCGGGTAGAGTTCACGTAGCGCAACACGCGGTAAATCTCATCTATAACCTGATGACACACAACAGCACGTGATCAGGAGAATACAAATAACAGAGAAATAATGAGTGAAACAGGCTTTTAAAAGCTCGATGCGGCATTCATGTGTGGGGAGCTGACCCGGTCGGAAGAAACAAATTAAAAAGGCTCTGGTATGAGCCACTACTAACAGTTAAAGCATAGTTTTTAATGGTCACATGTTGAACTGTGGTGCAGCTAAGACGTCCTAAACCAGCAGCAACGGCACCAACCTGATTAAAGACGGTTTCAACATCAATAATCAAAGAAATAGTTTTCCTTTTTAATCATGCTGGTACTGTTGTTGATTTAGGGCATTTTCCTTCCACTGCAGTTCAACATGTGTGTTAAGGCCCTGGCCATATTCTGAATCAGTGTGTGTTCTGTGCCTTTAAGAGTCTCTGCAGGGCCTCCACGTGATTGGAGGAGCCGTTTTGGGCCGGCTTTGACCTGCCACCTGCTGACTGACACCCACTATGAACTGGCCATTTCAAAAACCCTGTCTCCCGCAGATGTTCCCCAGACAGCAACAGCAGACCTGTCCTCGGCCTCCAAACTGGCAGTGCTTGATCTTGTAAATAGCACTGAAGCAGAAGGGGTGAACACCCTATTTTTTTGCACTTTTTCTCTTGTTTATTAAATTAGGGAATTAAAGGTAGTGCTTGTGTTTTGTTTAGTTTGGTTTCGAGTAGGGTTTAGGTAGCACTTCTTTGGAATAGGTTGTTTTGTTTATTATTTTGACCTTTTTTCACCCTGGAGTTTATGGTCTAAGGAGTTTGGAAAGAAAAGCATCTGGACTTCTTTAAGTTGCTTGAAGACGTCTTCGAGCAACTTAAAGAACCTTCACAGACCTGGAGTTTATGCTTTCAGTTTTGTTGTTATTGGTAGCAATAAACCTCACTCTTAGATTGACTATTGGGGGACAGGGGTGTGGAAACCCTGTCAAAGT